AGTCATATTACATCATTGATTCATTAGATTTTATTAAGACTCAAAATTTAGTCATTAATTCAATTTAAAAAGTATTTTTATGTGTCTACTAAGTACCAGGCACTGGGAATATGTAAGTGAACAGTACTGACAAAGTGCCTGCTCTTATGGAACTTATTTTTTTACTACCCCTCAGTTAGAATGTAAATAAGTAATCAAATTAATATGGAATATTAAGTAGTGGCAATTATAGAAAGAAACTCTAGTGTGATCAGGAGAGGACTCTAGAAAGATGACATTTGAGAGGAATCCCAAAAGAAGGGATTACAAGCCATGTGAAAGAGGGTGTGGGATAGTGTTTTGGGCAAGAAAGCAGTAATTGCAAAGGCCTTGAGACAGGAGCATTTGAAAGAATTCACAAAGACTACTGAAGTAAGTGTCCCCCTTGAGAGGCGACAAATGATGGGAGATGAGGTCAAAGAGATGGTGGGATAAAGGATTGCTGGAGAAAGAATACGTATAGGATCTTGTTGACTGTTGTTAAAACACTGGCCTTTACTTTAATTAGAAAACCTAACTAGTTGTATTACCATTAAAGAAATTGGATCCAGTAGTTTAGAATTCTCTCACCAAGGAAACACCAGGCCTAGTTGATTTTTACACATGATTTTTAACATTTAAGATGTGTGTGTGTATGTATGTAAGTTCAGTCTCTCCATAAACTATTTGAGAGTATATGTAAAAAAGGAACATGTCCCAACTCATTATATCATCTGACAAGGAAAGTAAGAGAAAATTATAGGCCAATCTAACTCATAAACATGTTTGTAAAATATTAAAGTTACTGCTACTCAAATCCAGCTATCTAGTACGATAGTTTTAGCTATCTAAAACCTTAATCTTTCTTAATCAAGTTGGGTTTATTCCAATAATGTAGGATTGGTTTAACTTTAGTAAATCTAATGATGTGATTCACTGCATTAATAGTCTAAGGGAAAAGTGAAACTATTTTAGTAAATGTCTAAAAACAGTTGATGAAATTCAACATTCATATTTGATGTAAACTTAATTAGAAATTGAAGGGCGTGTCCTTAACCTGATACAGAGTACCTGCAGAAAGGGTAGAGCAAGCATCATACTCAGTGGAGGAGTGTCAAAACACATCTCACCCTTGTATTGTTTTGAAGCAAGTCCCACAAATCCTTCAGTGTTCATTTCTAAAAGGTGGATTCTTTACCTAAAAATAGTTAAAATATTTCTTAATATCAGCAAATATCTGCTGTTCAAATTATTTTATGTCATAAATATCTTCATTTTTTAATTTAGTTTGTATGACTGAAAAACCTGGTAAGACTGACATATTGCAATTGGTTGATGTCTCTAAAGTCTATGAATCTATACTTTCCCTCCTCTGTCTCCTTTTCTTTTCCCTTGTCTCTTTGAGAAACGAGGTTGCTTTATTTAGTCGCAGTCTGCGTTTTCCAGATTGCGTCTCTGTGGTATCATTTGACATTTTCTCCTGTATTTCGTATAAATTACTAGTGGTAATTTATTATATAGAGGTTTGATCAGAGATCCAGGTTCAATTTTTTTTTTTTTTTTTGGCAGAGCGTTTATTTTTTTAAAAAAGAAGCTTATTATTAGCCTCTAACAAAATTTACCTTAATGGAAAGTATGTGGAAGATGTGTTCTGCAGCTTTCACCATTTGTTTGATCCACAGTTAACATAAGATACATAGAACCATTATTTCATACCGTTTTCCATCATTCGAGACACCTTCATGATCAAGGTTATACTGTAACTCATAGGAAGAGGATGCAAACTGCATGTTTGCACTGTGAATATGAAAGTTTGACTTAGAGTTCTTTAAGTTCAAGGTCATCTGTTTTTATGGTTCTGGAATTACTGGATAAGTACCCATTTTGGCTATTGACCCACTGGTCACTGGAGTTGCATTCTGTATGCTGCTTTTTCATTTTAAAACTATCATTGAAGCTACTTTATCTGTCATGTTGTACAGGAATCTGTAACAAATTCTGTTGATTGGTAGGAAGACTTCAAAGAAATTATCCCTTATTTTTCTCAAGATTTAATTTTCAAAAAAGGAAAAGTGATACTGTAGTTTAGAGTGGCAGAAAGGTGTTATGTTTGGTAAGTTCCTGTTTGAATTGCTGAAGGTGAATGAAAATTATTATTAAGTGTGGAAAATGATATACTGAATGAGAACAGACTTAAAGGTCATTATTAACTTTTAGAAAATATGACACCTGGTCATTCTTTTGGAAAGATAAAATAAAATTTGATCATGTGGATAACTTGGCTTGCATTACCATCAAGAAAAGACTTCACTGGATTATACTTAATCAAAACACTGAAGTAAAAATTTGGTAACTTGTACATTAGTACAGTACATATCTGTGTTTTTCCCTGTGTTGCTTTTTATTCTCATTTCCTTATTCTGTGTTCATTATTTGAATCAGAATCCTTCTGTTCCTTTTAGGAACTATTATAAGAGGCTTTAACTAGGATACTTTTCATCATTAGTCTGTTTCTGGTCAGGTTAACTGCTCTTCAGTATTTTGCTTGGTCCTGACACATAGGCAGCAGTCTTTTACGATCCTCACTCCTTAGTTGAAGACTTTTATTCCCTTCTTGCTATTTCATTTCTAGTGGGGAACCTTACTTAGTGGGAACAATAGAGTGGGAAGAAAGCCCTGAAGATGATGTCAGAGCCTTGGGGAGAATTTTATAGCCTGTTTAAAAAAGTTTCTTTCATTTTGTTTTTGTGTATTCCTACCAGCCTGTAACAAAAGAAGGTAAAAAACTGAAACCCAAATAACTTTTCCTTTTGAAATGTTTAGAAGAGAAACACTTGGGAATTATAACCTAAAATGAGGGTTTAGAATTAGTCCTTCACAAAGCGTGAGTAATAGTAAGTTGACTGTACTTGTTAATAACCTGATGAGAGAAATTACTCTTATTGGGGAATTTATCTAAAAATGATGTACTTGAATAGAAGTATGTATGAAAATAAGCCAAAAAGATTATTGATAACATTAGATTTTCCAAGACATAAATCTATTTTGCTTGTGTAGTGATGATTAAATGAGTAGTGTGTTAAATGTTATTTAGACTAGAATTTTAGCAAATTTCAAAGAAAATTCTAAAACTTTTTAATTGAATTACCAGTGTGGATATAGAAAAGTATACAGATAACTAGTGTATAGCTTGATGGATTTTTACGAACTGAACATAACCAGGTAACCAAAACTCTGATTAAACAGAACATTACCAGTATTTCCAAAACCCTCCTTGTATCCTTCATAACCATCATCCTGGTTTCAAACGGTATAGATTAGTTTTTTTTATTGTTATATGTAAGATTAGTTTTTCCTATTTGTTATATGTAAGATTAGTGTTTTCTATTTGTTATATGTAAACGGACTCATATACTACATACTCTTGTGTTTGGCTTCCTTTGCTTGATGTTGTGTGTGTGAGGTTCATTCACGTAGTTTCTTTATTCTCATTGTAGAGTATCCAGTTGTGTGAATACCAAATTCATTGATCCTATTGTTGATTGTCATTTGAATAGTTAAGGACATTTCTTTTTAAGTTTCAGACCTTTTTTTCAGGCAGTTGTTATCCCTGCCCAGAAACTGTAGACGTGAAGTGCAATTGTGGTAATACAAAGGTGACGGTGCCCTGTGGCCGGGAACGTACCACAAGACCACCCAAGTGCAAAGAGCAATGTAGGTTAGTATGAGGTTCTGCGCAGACTTACACCTGGTGTCTTAGCAAATTTAAATTCATACTGATTTTAAATATTGTTAGTATTTTAAATTTTGCATTAATGTTCTAAAATACTAATATTCACAGTATTCTTGTTCTGTATGGAATCAGAAGATACTTAAATAGATAATTGCACTTTAGATATAATTGTTCATTAATCAAAAGTAATTTAAAAAATTGTACTTTATGATTTAGTCGACCACCAACTTGCCATCATACAAGTCAAGAAAAACATCGCTGTCACTTTGGCTCTTGTCCTCCATGTCATCAGCCTTGCCAAAAAGTTTTGGAGAAATGTGGTCACTTGTGTCCTGCTCCATGTCATGACCAAGCATTAATAAAGCAAACTGGCAGGGTAAGGGAATATATTATTAAGAGGTAGTGCATTTCTGTGGGTCATATTTTCTTAATTTTACTTAGTCATTCAACAAGCAATGATTAAGTACCTACTGGGTGTTAAGCACTGTGATAGGAGCTGGGGTACAAGGTAAATATGACTTGATCTTTTGTCCTAAGAAGCTCACGGCGTAGAAAAGACGAGAAACCAGTAAACGGATGTTTGCTAATAACATGTGGTAATCATGTTATCATCCTGATACACATGAGTTTGGCAGTCTTCCTTCATATATTGTGGTCCAGGGTTATAGATATCTTCTGGTTTCCTCAAAGATTCATTCACTTAGTGAATATTTATTGAGTCCTTACTATGTGTTAAGCATTCTCCTACCTGCTAGGGACATAACAGTGAACAAATAATGGAGATTACATTCTACTGGTGGAAGTTGGATTTTACAGTGCCGTTTCTCATTCCCCTTTTGGCTAATAAGAAGTAAAGGAAGCTACTTTGTCTTTGTTCTGCCATTTAAAAACTGGAGTCTGCCTTCATTTGTAGCATCAGATGTGTGTGGAGGGGAACATCTGATAGAGTACAGATGGGATAAAATATTTCAGTAAGCACAATTTGTTGGTTACTTGAAAAAATTTCAGCCCGCTTGAACAGAGGGTATGTGGGACTATTTTCTTAGATTCTTATATTGGCCATATGATTTAATTCCTCTGCCTTTAAATTGTTTTGTATTTTACTTGTAGCACCAGCCTACAGGCCCTTGGGAACAGCCTTTGGAGCCAGAGTTTATTCAGACTGCATTACCGTGTCCTCCATGTCAAGTTCCTATTCCTACGTAAGTATTTTAGAATTTTAACTTAAAAATAATTTTTTTTTACATAGTTCTAAGTTTATCTTAAATTACCTTCTCCCCTTTTTCTGTATTCAGTTCATCATTTTTTTCAGGCCTAGTCCATAAACCAGTCTCTCTGTCTTCAGCCTAATTCTTTTCTAAGTACATTTTACATACTGCTTGAAAACCTCTAGATATCTTTTTTTGAGTCTTTTCCCCAGCTGGAGTTTAATGTCCTTCTGAATTTCCATAGCAACTCGCACTTAGAGTAATTCATCCAAGAGATCATCATCCGTTAGTTTTCCTGATACCCATGCTAGTCTGTGAGCTACTTGAGGACAGAGGAGAGCCAGGTTGTAGGTAAGGCATACTTGAAGGAAACACTGAAAATCAAAGAAAGTAGTGTTCTGGAATGTAGTATTCCCAGGTAATGACCTGGACTGGGTGGTAAGGAGTCAAACCCTAGGGTGATATGAATCGTGGAATGGTTCATACTTTGAGTAGAGGTTATAGAATATAGGAGTAAAAGAAGCACAGAATTCTGGGAACTAACGTAAAATTAGAAAACAGGTTGTTTTCTACCATTAAGATTCCAAACTGAATATTGGTATGTCTTGCGTATCTTTTTAAAGAGACAGTTCTAGGGCCATAGGCTTAAAGATACAGTTATTTCCTTTTAAAAGCTCTCCCATTATGTCCTTCCACATCTTTCCTCTCAGTTTAAGTAGAATGTATATTTTTATATATTGGTTGTGCAGTCAGGTTGGGAGGCAAAGTGTTACTGGGAGCTGTATCTACAACATAGTGATTTTAGTCTGTAGATTAGTCGGGGGGGAGAATTCATAGTCACTTAAATTGTTTGTATAAGTGTAGTCAGTTATCTTTGAATTCCTTAGTCTGTCTTACAGGAGGATTATTTAACAGATATTCCCCTTATTTCATTCAATTAATTTCCTCAAAATCTTAGGTTGGATTAAATATTTTATGACAGTAGAAAAACTGCCTGGAATTACTAAGTCATGTTTACTAGAGGTTTAAAGAATTAATTTTATTTATTTAATTAATTAATTAATTAATTAATTTTAAGATTTTATTTATTTATTTGACAGAGAGAGACACAGTGAGAGAGGGAACACAAGCAGGGGGAGTGAGAGAGGGAGAAGCAGGCTACCCGTGGAGCAGGGAGCCCGATGTGGGACTTGATCTCAGGACCTTGGGATCATGACCTGAGCCGAAGGCAGTCGCTTAACCGACTGAGCCACCCAGGCGCCCTAAAGAATTAATTTTAAAAGTCTTTCCTTTGCACTTGACTGGAATGTGCTGCTGAAAGGTTTTTTGGGGGGTATGTATATATATATATTAAGACATTGTGTTTTAGAGTAAGGACTCTTGAGTCCAGTGTTATGCTTCCTGCTAACTACTACCATGAATAAGTCATATATCCTCTCTGTTTGTAAAATAAGGATATTCAAGATATTTACAAAGATGTTAGTGGGGAAGAGAGAAGTTTTGGAGGGAGGTCTTTATCAAAAAAATATTTGTTGTGTCTAGTAAACAATTTTTTTCTTAGTCTATTTTTTCTGATGTTAGTATAGCCACATTTACCCTCTTTTGGTTATAATTTACATGAAGGAATGGACAGATTCTTAGAAACACAAAAACTTCTGAAACTGACTCAAAGAGAAGTAGAAAATCTAAATAAACTTACACCTAGTAAAGAGATTAAACTAGTAACCAAAAGCCTACCACAAAGAAAAGCTGAGGATGAATGACTTTACTGGTGAATTCTACCAAACATTTAAGAAATTAACACCAGTGTTTCACTATGGGGAGACACTTCCTGACTTACTCAATGAAACTTGTATTTCCCTGATACTAAGAGCAGAAAAAGACATCACAAGAAGAGAAAACTATAGATCAATATTCCTTTTATATATAGATATAAAAATTCTCAACCAAATACTAACAAACTGCATCTAGCAACATGTAAAAAGGTTTGTACATCATGACCAAGAGGGATATATCCCACAAATAGGAGGTTGATTCAACATATGAAAACCAAAATACCAAAGTACTATTTTATCATAAGAATAATGGACAATCAATAGATGCAGAAAAACATTTGACAAAATCCTACATACTTTCTAGATGAAAACACTCAATAAACTTAGATAAACAAACTCCCTCAACCTGATAAAGGGCATCAGTGAAAAACCCTTAATCATACTTAATGGTGAAAGACCAAAAGCTTTCCTGTTAAGAACAGGAAAAAGAGTAGGATGTCGACGTTGGACAACAAAGATGGCTGCAGGAACCAGCAATTATTGGGAAGATCTCAGGAAACAAGCTCGACAGCTGGAAAATGAACTTGACCTGAAACTAGTTTCCTTCAGTAAACTATGTACAAGTTACAGTCATAGCAGTGCCCGAGATGGAAGACGCGACAGCTCTGACACAACACCCCCTTTAAATGGATCAAGCCAAGACAGAATGTTTCAAACAATGGCAATTGAGATTGAACAGCTTTTGGCAAGGCTTATAGGAGTAAATGATAAAATGGCAGAATATACCAACAGTGCAGGTGTCCCATCTTTGAATGCAGCACTGATGCATACATTACAGAGACAGAGAGATATATTGCAGGATTATACACATGAATTTCATAAAACCAAAGCAAACTTCGTGGCAATATGGGAAAGGGAGAATCTCATGGGATCAGTACGAAAGGATATTGAGTCATATAAAAGTGGGTCTGGAGTAAACAACAGAAGAACTGAACTATTTTTGAAAGAACATGACCACCTTCGAAACTCAGATCGTCTGATAGAAGAGACAATAAGCATTGCTATGGCATCAAAAGAAAATATGACTTCCCAGAGAGGAATGTTGAAGTCGATTCAGAGCAAAATGAATACTTTGGCCAATCATTTTCCTGCTGTGAACAGCCTGATCCAGCAGATCAATCTGAGGAAGCGGCGAGACTCCCTCATCCTGGGCGGTGTCATTGGCGTCTGTACCATCCTGTTGCTGCTGTATGCTTTCCATTGATGGAACATCTCGGGGACTCTGGACAGCCACCCCTTTCCCACCCTGATCTGGAATAAGGAAAAGTAGGAAGGAGAAGTTGATTGTCCTGATGATTAGCCTCACCAGCAGGATTAATTCACGACTGATAGCTCTGGACTCTGTCACGTGGTCAGATTGAGCTGAAGCCACAGTTTTTCTGTGCTCTCTTTTCTAACACACATTTCCTTCTGTTTTTAGTTTAAAAAAAAAAAAAGTTTTCAGTTGCTTTTGTCCTCCCAGGAGGTAAGTAAACCAATCAGAAACAGAGTTTCTGTGCTTCAGTAATTGTGTTGAAGGCTGATGACAAGCCAGGTCTTAGAGCTGGACTTCTCAGAAAACCAGGTTTCTCTGTATCCAAAGACTGCTTTCCTTTTAGCCCCCAGATTGGGTTGTGAATAAAAATAGTTCTTGTCCTTTTATTTTACACTCATGATGAGAAATCACAAGTCATTTCTTGATAAGCTGTGCTATAAATTTCTACTCTGCGTCCCTGTTTTGGTATTCAAGGAAAATTACATTTTTCACAGATTCTTTGAGATGCCAGCAGGTCAACTTCAACACAGTTGAGGTTGTCTGAAACAGAAGACAAACACTGCAAAAAACCTTTTTTTTTCCTTCTTCTTTTTGTAAATTGTATGCACACTAGGGTTGACTGTATTCCTGGAAAAGCATCAAGAATAACAGGCTTTTTTTGTCAGTCGTTGTTTTGATTTTTTGTTTATATCTTCCATTGGATTAATATTTCCTACTACAAGTAAATGAAATTTCGGTTCTACCATGATAAAAGTAACCAATAGCCAGTGTCTGTCATTGCCCCCACCAATTCCTCATCATGTCAGGATTAACCCTGAATGAGGGGACTGCTCAGTTTTCAGTGAGATCTATTCAACAAGCCACATGTAAAAAGACATTGATTTGCGGGGTCACCATCCAGATAATTCCATTTATAAATGCTCCATGATCTAGGAGCAAAAGTTTGAGAACTACTGCCTGATGTATTAGGAATTCTGAGTTTTACGAAGACCTATTTACTCTAAATCTGTTTTTTCCAAACATCCAGAGAATGGTTTTACTGTTGAAGGTGCATGTGACAAAATCTCTCTCTGCACCTGTCTTCTATCATCTGGACAGGGACAAAATTTTAAACCACCCACCAGAATTCTTTTCAGGTTTAACCATTTCTCCGTTTCTGTAAATGTATGACTTGTCTAACTGAACTACCACAAATAGCTTGAAGACTTCAACATCTGCACTCCTCACCAAGAAAGAAGGTTGCTCTTCACCATTGGAATTGACTCTGGTACTTACAGTATTGGCTTCAGACTGTGCCACAGGGAATAAAAGGATATTAGCATGTAGTTCTTAACTGCATTACAGTGTGTAGGTGATGACATTCAGATGAACTTAATACACAGGCTGATGGCTATGCTAACTGCTGGTCTGGTACAGAAACTGAGAGGTTTTTCCTTCTGGTGTCTAAGTTTTATTATGTCCTGGGTATGAAAGGCATTTGATACCTTTTTTTTAAACTATGGGGTTTATTTTTCTAAATATGGGTTGATCGATCAGTTACTTGATTGGGGATGCCCTTAAAAGAAAGTAAGTTTTCCCAATGTGACCCTTAAAGGATTCGAGAAGTTCATTTATTAAATTCTCTGTTGGGAGAACAAAACTTCTCTTCCCTGACACTTTATTATTATCTTTGATTTTTCAAAGGGCCTTCATTGGTGGTTGTGCCTCAGCTAGAATTTATGGGACTTTCGTTGCTGTATGGTTGGCATTTATAAAATCTGAAGTATCATAAATAAAGTTATTTATTTAATTATACTAAAAAAAAAAAAAGAGTAGGATGTCTGCCCTTGCCCCTTCTATTTAGGTTTACATTGTATTAGAGGTGCTAGCCAGAGCAATTAGACTAGAAAAAGAAAGAATGTATTCACATTGGGAATAAAGAAGTAAAACTATTTGTATTTTTAAATGATATGACCTTGTATATGAAAAATCCTTACACAGACTGTTAGAGATGATAGGATTTTTCATATACAAGATCATGTAGTATATGGAAGTCAATGGCTTTGGTAAGGCTATAAGAAACATTAGTATACAAAAGTCAATTCTATACCCTAGCAATGAACCATCTGAAAATGAAATTAAGAAAACAGTTCTACTTCCAGTAGCATTAAAAAAGCAACTTGTTTATTCAACAAATTTAATTTAAAAAATCTAAGATTTTGTCCACTGAAAACTATAAAACATTTTTGAAAGAAATTAAAGAAGACCAAAGGCTGTGGTACTGGCATACCGATAGACATATGGATCAAGGGAATAGAATTGAGAGTCTGGCCATAAATGTAGGAATTTATTTCTAATTAGTTTTTGATAACAGTGATTTAATAAATGGAAAGACATCCCATGTTTGTGGATGGGAAGACTTAATGTTAAGGGCACTATTACCCAAAATGATATACAAATTTAACATATATATTCTCTGTCAAAATCACAGCAGGCTTTTATGCAGAAATTGTCCCCAAAATTCATATGGAAATGTGAAGGACCCAGAATAGCCAAAATCTTCTTAAAAGTGAAAACAAAGTTAGAGGACTCACATTTCCTGATTTTAAACTTATAAAACTATAGCAGTTAAGAATCTGTGGTATTGGTGTAGGGACACACATTGATCAATGGAATAGAATTGAGAGGCCAGAAGGAAACCCATATGTTTATGGTCAATTGATTTTTGATAAGAGTGTCAAAACAGTTCAGTGGGAGGAAGAATGTTTCATGTCAACACATGGTGCTGAGAGAATAGATATTCACAGGGAAAAAAAATGAAATTGGACCTCTACATCACAACATATATAAATATTAACTCAAAATGGATCAAAGATCTGAAAGTAAGAGCTATTAAACTCTTAGAAGAAAACATAGGTGTAACCCTTTGTGTCCTTGTGTTAGGCAGTGATTTGTTACATAGGACACCTAAAGCATAAGCAACAAAAGAAAAAATAAAGTCAGGACATTATTAAGCACAATTTCTTAATTGTGCTTCAAGGACACAATAAAAAAATTGAAAAGAACCCAAAAATGGGAGAAAAAGTTTGCAAATCATATATTCTGTAAGAATATCTAGAATATATAAAGAATTCTTAAACCGAGAAACAAAAAGACAAATAATCCAATTTAAAAATGGGCGAAATCCTTGAATAGACGTTCCTCTGGAGATCTTACAAGTGGCCAGTAAACATGTGAAAAGATGCTCAAGTAATTGTTAGGGAAATGCAAGTCAAAACCATGTTAAGGTGTCATTTTACACTCACTAGGAAGGCTAAAATAAAGAAGATATAAGTGTTGGTGAAGATAGGGAGTAGTTGGAACCATCGTACATTGCTGATGGGAATGTAAAATGGTGCAACTACTTGGGAAAGCAGTTTGGTAGTTTCTCAGGAAACCAAACTTGGACTTAACCAATTTTACTCTTAGGTATACACCTGAGAGAATTGAAAATATGTGTTCACAAAAAAACTTGGACACAAATGTTACAATAATAGGAGCATTATTATGAATAGCCAGAAAGTGGAAACAAATATCTATTGATTGATGAATGGATAAACAAAACGTGGTATATCCATGCAATGGAATATCATTCAGCTATAAAAATGCATGAATTACTGACACCTGCTATAACATGGATGAACCTTGAAAACAGTATTCTAAGTGAAAGAAGCCAGACATGAACGGCCACATAATGTTTGATTCCATTTATATGAAATGTTCAAAATAGGCAAATCCATAGAGATAGAAAGTAGATTAGTGGTTGCCAGGGGCTACAGAGTGACTTCTAATAGTTACAGGGTTTCTCTGTTGATTATGAAAATATGCTCGATACTGGTGAGGGTTCCATAACCTTGTGAATATACTAAAAACCACTGAATTGTACATTTAAAAGTATAAATTTTATGGTATGTGAGTTTTATCTCAATTTTAAAAAGGAGACAAACCTACACATAAAGATCCTTCTAATTCTGATAATGATTTTTCAGTGGATGTGTAATAAAATTATTATAAAGTATATGTTAAAATTATTACTTGTCACATGAACTATCCAGGTATTATGATTTCTTTCTTAGAGTAGAATATTCATGTCTTCTTGTCCCTTAACATGACTTTTAATCGTAATTTGGCTATGTGGTAAAAGAATTCTGAATATACGTGTTAAATCATTTGCAGTGCCTTTGGCTTCAAGTTATAAAGAACCTAAATAAAAAGTGACATAATAATGTTTATGCCTTGCATGGTTAGATTGGAGGTAGAGCAGCTTCATGGTTGGTTAAGCTGGTTAATGCAATGATACATCATCAAAGGCCCAGATTCTGTCTATTTTATCCTCAATGTGTCATCTTTGCCGTCAGGCTGTTTGGTTTTCTGATCAACCTCCCATCCAGATAGGAAGTTTCCAAAAAGAAAAACAGAAACTGTTTATGCCTTCTACCATCATCATCTTTTTTTAAAGAGTGAGAAGCCTTTTCCAGAAGCCCCATAGCAAAACTCCTTCCACATTTCATTGGCCAGAATAGGATCATAAGACAATTTCTAAACCAGTCCCTGGAAAGGGAAGTGGAATGTTTATTTTTAAATTCTTTTAAATAGACTTTATCTTTTTTAGGTGATTTTCGGGTTTACAGAAAAATTACACAGACAGTACAGAGTTCCCATATGATCCTGCCACACATACTTTCCCTTGTTATTAACATTTTATATTAGTGAGGTACAGTTTTTCACAATCGAGGAACTGATACTGAATAATAACAATATTATAAACTAAAGTCCATAGTTTACATTAGGGTTTACTTTTTGTGTTGGACGGTTCTATGAGTGTTGATAAATGCATGATCTCATGTATCCACTATTCACCATTACAATAACATACAGAATAGTTTCACTGCCCTAAATGTGTCCAGTGCTATACTTGTTCATCTCTTACCTTCTCTCCCTCAAGCCACTGGTAATCGTTGCTCTTTTTAATGTCTCTGTGGTTTTGCCTTTTCCAGAATGTCACCTAGTTGGAATCATACAGTTTGTAGGCTTTTCAGCATATTTCATGTAGCAATATGCATTTAAGTTTCCTCTGTGTCTTTTAGTGTCTTGGTCGCTCATTTCTTTTTATTGCTGAATAATATTCCATTGTATGAATGTACCACAGTTTGTTTATCCATTCACCTATTGAAGGACATTTTGGTTGCTTCCAAATTTTGACAGTTATGAAAAAAGCTGCTATAAGCATTGATGTATAGATTTTGCTGGATCATATCGTAAGCTTAGTTTCTCTTTGTAAGACACTGCCAAACCATCCAACAAGGTGGGAGGAATGTACCATGTTACATTCTCATCAGCACTGTGAGTGCCTGTGGCCCTGTGTTCTTGTCAGCATATGCTCCTGTCCACGTTTTGGGTTTTAGTCATTCTAATAGGTGTGCAGTGGCATCTCATTGTAATTGGCAGTTTTCTAAGGACACATGATGTTCAGCATCTTTTCATATGTTTATTTGCTGCCTGTATGTCTTCTTTGGAAGGTGAGGTGTCCTCTCTTCAAATCTTGACCATTTTTTAATTGGATTGTTTGCTTTCTTACTGAGTTTTAAGAATTTTGTTTACATTTTGGATACAAGTCCTTTACCAGATACATGTTTTCCAAATACTTTCTGCCAGTCTGTGGCTTTTCGTTTATGTGTTTTCATTTAGCACTTTCATTTAAGTGTTTTTCACAAGGCAGATGTTTTGGTTTTTCTTTTGGAGATCATGCTTTTGGTGTTGAATCTAAAAAATCATCATTAAATCCAAGTCACCTGGATTTTCTCCTATGTTTATAGTTTCACACTCCACATTTAGGTCTGTGATCCATTTTGAGTTACCTGTTGTGAAAGGTGTAAGGCCTGTTGGGATTTTTTTTCTGTGTCGATGTCTTAATTCCAGCACCAACCATTTGTTGAAAAGACTATCCCTTCTCTATTCGGTTGCCTTTTTCCTTTGTTAGAGATCATTCGACTATATTTATGTAGGTCTGTTTCTGGGCTTTCTGTTCTTTTCCATTCTGTTAACAGTACCCTACTGTCTTAATCACTGTAGCTTTATATATGTCTTTAAGTTGGATAGTGTCAGTACTATGTTGTTCTTCAGTATTGTATTGGCTATCCTGGGTTTTTTGTTTTTCCATACAGACCTTAGAATCAGTTTGCTGGTGTCCACTATTAATAACTTGCTGGGATTTTGATTAGAATTATGTTGAATCTAGATCAAGTTGGGAAAAAAGCAACATTTTAACAATATTTGCACCTTCCTATCAGTGAACATGGGATATCTCATCATTTATTTAGATTGTCTTTGATTTCTTTCATCAGTGTTTTGTTATTTTGCTCATATAGATCATGTCTATATTTTGTTAGATTTGTATTTATTTCATTTTTTGTGCTAGTATAAATGGTGGTATGTTTTAAATTTCAAATTCCAATTGTTCATTGCTGGTATATAGAAGAGCAATTGGCTTTTGTGTGTTAACTTTGTATCCTGCAAGTTTTCTATCTTCACTTCTGTTTATTTTTTATTCTTAATAAAACTAGTAGACTTAGCACCTTTGCTTTAGATAACCTTTTTGAAGAATTTGTAACGTTTTCATTTTATTTTTTCTTGCAGAGAATGTCTTGGGAAGCATGAGGTGAGTTATAGGCACAAATTTTAAGTAAAGCTTATAATTTATGCCTCTTCTATTGAGGATTGTTAGAAATGACAAGGTATAATTATTATTTTTTTAGTGCTTTAAAAAGTACAAGAGTTATCTGCAAATTTTTTTTTAAAGATGTACTTTATTTTAGAGTGGGAGAGAGAGAGCTCATGTGTGCCAGTGGGAAGGGGCAGAGGCAGAGGGAGAGGGAGAGAAGCAGACTCCCCACTATCAGGGAACCTGACATGGGGCTTGATCCCGAGAGCCTGAGATCATGACCTGAGCCAAAATCAGGAGTCGGATGCTCAACCGCCTGAGCAAACCAGGCGCCCCTCTGCTGATGTTTAAAATATACTGTGCTTTTGGGAATTAGCCAATGTATATGTGGTCACTATAGCATCGTTGTATTGAATTTCCCTTTTGGGAATAGAATGTTTTGCTTATTGGCATTCATTTTTTGGATTTTTTGATAGGTTACTTTGATTTTGAATATAACTATTATTAATGAAAATGTGTTAGACCTTTATGAAACTTGTTCTCAAATGATAATAGAGTCATTTCAGAAACATGGGTCCAGAAGGTTTTGTGTGTGTTGCTGATTTTCTTTTTCTTTTTTTTTTCTTTAAGGTGAGTCCACTACCATGCTATGCTATAGGACCTTACTCTTGTAAGAGAGTATGTGGACGAACCTTAGGTTGTCAGAATCACACGTGTATGAAAGAATGCCACAAAGTAACTGAAATTGATACCTGCGTTGGCAAAAACAAGGTAATATCCTTAGGTTGAATGTATATGTACTTCTAGTATGCTTGGAACATTTTTTTGAATAATTATGCCGTAAATATTTTTACATTTTGTTAGAACTTTTTTATTCCGTCTTGCCCTCATCCCTTCTCCTTCCTTGCCTCTCTTAATACAACCAGCTTTAACAGCTTGGTGTGTATTTCTCTTTATTTTTGTGCTAACTCACGATAATAAGCCTTTTAATGTTCTCTCAACATACTGTACTGTGTTAATACATAGGCTTTGATTTTATGCTAAAGTACAGAAATTATGTGTCTATTTAGATAGTAGTTAATAATATCACTTCCACTTCTGTTCATTTATATCTCTGGCTTTAGTCTGGAACATTTGTTCTCAGTAATTTTTTAAACCTAACATCTGTGATAGGCAATGTTCACAATTTTTTTTTAAATTTTATTTTATTATGTTATGTTAGTCACCATACAATAAATACATCATTAGTTTTTTTTTTTTAATTTTTTATTCTTATGTTAATCCCCATACATTACATCATTAGTTTTAGATGAAGTGTTCCATGATTCGTTGTTTGTGCACAACACCCAGTGCTCCATGCAGTACGTGCCCTCTTTAATACCCATCACCAGGCTAACCTATTCTCCCACTTCCCTCCCCTCTAGAACCCTCAGTTTGTTTCTCAGAGTCCATAGTCTCTCATGGTTCGTCTTCCCCTCCGATTTTAATAAATTCCCAATCGTTCATTGGAAATAAAGTAAATAGCATCACAGATGTAGGGCATGTGTGTGTGAAATTCACTAAAAGCATTTTCTAAAGCATATGAGAAGTCAACCATTGAAAGATCTCTAAAATTGCCATTTTACAAGGAAAAATAAATGTAGCTAATCAAATTTTAAATGATATTAAATTTTATTTTTGAACATTTAAATTCGTCAGCACATAAAAACATAGAACAACAAAAGTATTTTCAATAGCAATAAAATATAAAAGACTCCTATTAAAACAGAGATACAAATAGTGTCCTGTTCTGAATTTCCTAGGCCATATGAAAGTTTCTGGCCAAGAAAATAAAGGCAGAAATGATTTTCATCTCCAAAAATAGTCAGGGAAATTTTTATCATTAACCACTCTACTTTTTTTTTTTGAACTGACATTTTCAGTTTTATTTATTTATTTATTATTAACATATAATGTATTATTTGTTTCAGGGATACAGGTCTGTGATTCATCAGTCTTACACAGTTCACAGTGCTCACCATAGTACATACCCTCCCCAGTGTCCATCACCCAGCCACCCCATCCCTCCCACCCACCTCCACTCCAGCAACTCCCAGTTTGTTTCCTGAGATTAAGAGTCTTTTATGGTTTGTCTCCCTATCTGGTTTCATTTTGTTTCATTTTTCCCTCTCTTCCCCTATGATCTCTGGCTTGTTTCTCAAATTCCTCATATCATTGAGATCATATGATACTTATCTTTCTCTGATTGACTTATTTCGCTTAGCATAATACCCTCTAGTTCTATCCACGTTGTTGCAAATGGCAAGATTTCGTTTTTTTTGATGGCTGAGTGATATTCCATTGTATATATACACCACATCTTCTTTATTCATTCATCTGTTGATGGACATCTAGGCTCCTTCCATAGTTTGGCTGTTGTGGACATTGCTGCTATGAACATTGGGGTGCGCGTGCCCCTTTGGATCACTACATTTGTATCTTTGGGGTAAATACCCAGTAGTGCAATTGCTGGGACATAGGGTAGCTCTATTTTCAACTTCTTGAGGAACCTCCATACTGTTTTCCAGAGTGGCTGCACCAGCTTGCATTCCCACTGACAGTGTAGGAGCGTTCTCCTTTCTCCCCATCCTCGCCAATATCTGTCGTTTCCTGACTTGTTAATTTTAACCATCTGACTGGTGTGAGGTGTTATCTCATTGAGGTTTTGATTTGTATTTCCCTGATGCCAGGTGATGTTGAGCACTTTTTCATGTGCCTGTTGGCCATGTCTTCTTTGCAGAAATGTCTATTCATTTAACCACTCTACTTTTTCTCTACTTCTGTGATTGAGGAGGTTGTTATGTCCCATGTGATACAGTTAAAAACTAAGTCTCCATCCTCCAGTGTCCCAGAATAACTGATTTGCCAGAGTCCCCTGCCAGGCTACATTTGACATGGTGTGTGAATAAAAAATAAACTTTTGTTATATAGAAAATTATATATTTTAAAAATATTTAATGTTTTTTTGTAGACTTCCATTCTTCAGGGAATCAATACTATTAGCAAGTGTGTTTAATGAGGAATAAGCAAAAATTTTAAGATTCATTTTATTAACTAACATTAAATTTACAAATGTTTAAGTTATTAATATGAATTGTAATTGAAAATTTCACTTGCATTATTTTTTTGGTCTTTGATTTGGTGATTGTAAAGCATGATAACCTAAGCCTCCATAGTATCATTCTCGCTCATGTGCAGACATGTGAATGTATAGCTTATAATTTCTTCATCGATCCATGCTTTAATCCTTAATAAAAATGTACTCATGATAAAATGAAAAAGATATTGGAATTATAAGATCATACTAACATAATAATTCAAAACCACTTTAGTGAGACTATAGCTGCTGTATGGCTTTCCTCCTCTGGATTTCCAGAACATCAAGTGAGTTGAAAAAAAAAAACAACAACTCACTTCAAGAGCTGATATGACACTGATTGGGGAATTATCTTGGATTATCCCAGCATTGCTTCATGGGTAATGGCTGTGGTAAAATATGGGTTATAAGTTATGTGCAGTTCTTAATTTAGCTACAAGTCCATCTTTATCTCCCATTCATGGAAGGCTGAGGCAGTGCAAGTGAGTGAAAATTACATTATTTGGGGGATTACTTTGCAGTCATTATAATTTATATATTAAAAATGAAATAATTCATAAACTCTTTAAAATGAATTCCTTACTGTAACATCTCAAGTGAGACCCATTAGAAAAGATCTCCTTGTATGTCTCTCTTGACCCAGATGGCTCTGGAATTCTAATGCAGTTTCTACCTTGAATTCTAGCACAGAGCCTATAACATAGCAGGTATTTAAAAGTGTTTATTGAATTGACTGGAATCAAAACTCTTTTGCTTCTTATCTCTGTTCTGGTCTCTTTCCGTGGCCTTACTGGCAGATCTCAGTCCAATTAAGGCTATTCTTACAAGCAGTGCCTTTGATTGCTACCATTAACAACAAATATATCCCTATTGTCTAATTCATTGGCTGGAGTGAGTGGAACAGTGGTTAACTGGGGAAAGGTGTGAGACTGATGGCAAATGAAGTGTGTGTATTTCCCAAGCAAACCTGAGTACAAATATTTTTGAGTGACTGAAAGAAGAAATAATGAAGATAGTCTTTTCTCTTTGGGAAAAATCTGTACCAAAAAAAAAAGAAAAAAAGAAAATATATGTACATAATCACACATAGGCACATATATTTCTTATATAATTATGTATGTGATAGACCCTTGCCATGCAGTGTTGTCTGAGTGATGGGCATCACCTGGAATCTTGTTGGAAATGCAAAATCTCAGGTCTCACCTAAGTATTTTAACGATTGCCAAGTGATTGATCATGCACAAAAATGTTTGAGAAACAGTGCTAAGGGCAATGTGTGTGATGTGTGATGTTTCATTGATTTAAAAAAAAAGAATTTTGTTATGATCATCAATCTCACTAAGAGATTGGAACTTAATTATTCCAGCCGTTAAAAACAAGGGATAATTTTATAATGTGATAGAGGTACTAATTATTGCTACAGTGACAATCTTATTACAGTA